TTCTCTGTGTTTATCTGTTTGATCTATACCAAAAGTAAAAATTGAGTTTAAGCCTTATCTCTATCACATAGGGTACAGATAGGAATATATAAAAATCGATCGAGAGGTGAATTTGAGGTAAGTAATCAACTGAGAAAACATGATATCTGGACTACCCCCTCATTACAGTCCAACAGGAGTTCTCCAGTTAGCTCCTGTCCTCACAGAGTACAGCAAGTTTGTGTCTGATTAGTTTGGTCTTCTGCTTCCTTCTGCTGCAGTCCTTTCCAATCCAGCTCTGTCTTCTAAACAGTTTCAAGCTTTAAACAAAATACTTTTCTGCATATTAGATTATCATCAAACATCCAAAATGGATCAAATGTTGTTTTAGCAATTTTTTTAATAAATAAAGCAATCCTCTTTAATGTATATATCTGAACTTCATAAGCACATGTTCAATGTTTCCTCTGAATCAGAGATAAAGGTTTGATTTATCTAAACTCTTTAAAGTAGAGTAGAATGTCTTTAGTGTTGATGATAAACAAAACACAATATGTTATTTTACTGATTTTTATTTTTACTCATCACAAATTAGAGACAGTCGATCTCCAGGTGGTTTTATTGTTAATTGGGATCTTTTGAAAGAGTCTGCTGGAAAACTATCCTCACAGATAATGCAATAGTTTTGGTATCAAGAAAAGCCTGAGTTGGATAACATTTGATAAAACCACCAGCAATAAACCTTTCTTTAGTAAATCTGATTTAGAGGGAGCTGGTGACTGAGATACATTCAAAATTCCTTTAATGGGCTACTGAATGTGTAGCTGAAATAAAAATTTGGAATCAAATTAGATTTTACTGTAAGAGGTGAGGGTTCATTCTCAAAATCGAATTGTGATGGCAATACAATTATTTGATAAATAATCATTGCTCGCAGTGATAACTGTTCATTTGCTTGTCTCATGCGTATGAAGCCTGGAAAGCAGAAACAGTTTGAGGATTTTTTTTTTATGTTACTATATATATATATATATATATATATATATATATATATATATATATATATATATATATATATATATATATATATATATATATATATATATATATATATAATGAATGTAGGTAATGATATATATATAATGTGAAGTATTACAACAAAGTCTGCTATAGTCTGCAACTAATTACATATCATATTATAAGGTGTATAAATTAGATTTTAACATATCAATTTCTTCTTAATCTACATTTAATTACATTTAAATTTAATTTTCCATTTTTAAAACATCATCAAAGACAGCTCCCAGACATCCTCAGAATACAAACGATTGGCATGGTGTGAAGACTTGAAATGTAATATATCAGTAAAGGAATGGCCGAGGGCCTGTTGGAAGGCACAGACACAATCTATTAGTACTCAATTTAAGTTAATCCAATACAAATGGTTGATGAGAACATATGTTACTCTAACACTACTAAATAATTTAAATCCAACATTAAGGATACATTTGCTAAGTGTGGAGATAAAGGCAATTTGATTCACTGCCTTTGGTAATGTCCTGAGATTCAGAAATTTGGGAAAGAGGTTTTGGATAAAATTTCACTTATCGTCAGTACTAAACTCAATCTCTGTCCTAGGTTGTGTGTCTTAGGAATTTTTCCCACTCACACTTAAATAAGCAAGGTTGATCAAAAGTCCATAATTTATTGTTTGGTGCAGGCTAAATATAGTATAGCCAGGTCCTGGAAATCTGTAACCAGACCCCAACTTAAAACTTGGATGTCTACACTATCAAGCTCTCTTGCCTTGGAGAAACTCACCTTTATGATTAAGGGTAAATACTATGTGTTCAAAAAGATATGGGAAAAGTTTTTGCTATTCTTGGAAAATTTGATATTCATAATGAGGATTGACTGAATGTACTCTGGCTAATTTTGCTTATGTCTTTATTCTTATAGTGGCTGTAAATCTGTTATCTTCATCCAAATGTACTCACTTGTTCAAAAAATGTATGAAACTAAAACATTGATGTTGGGATGCCTAGAACCAGGGAGGACGATGCCATCATCTCATACCTAGCTTTTGGACTGTGGTCTCAACATACACCCCTGAAATAACAACCTTAAAATATTTTGTGTCACTGTAATCTTCAAATGCTTGTCGCCTTGAATGTTTAATTTGTTAATGTGTTTTTTTTTTTGGTTTTGTTAGGTGTTTTGTCCACTTGTGAGTTATCTGTGTGTATGTTTTTGAAATGTAAAATACAATAAACAGATTTGGAAAAAAATTTTTTTACATTTAATCATTATTTTACAGATTATGTTTTGGCTTTCTATTTCCATAATTATGGACCAGAGGTCATAATCTAAAAATATTTTATAAGTTTACCTGTCTGAATGGGAATCTGAACCAACACAAGTGTAACTCAAAGTTTTAGGATATCTATATAAGTTAATTAAATTCAATTGGGGATTTGATTGTGTTTATGTCTAATTCTTGTTATAATTCATCTAAATCCAGAACTACCAAAGGAAATACCTAATACCCTGGGCTACAAACAACAGAATTTAGACATATATTTAGGCCATTGTGTGCTATAATTTTTTGTAATTTTTTTTAACTGGCAAACATCTAATAACTGTAATATTGTACTGACTATAGTCTCAGGTACTGAGGCTCCATGTTGTGGAAGTAATGACCCCTTGTGGCAGTATCTTGTTCTGTGCATAATGGAGCTCACATTTATCTTCTGTTTGCTGTATTTTATACTGTCACTATGTTCTTCCGTCTTTAATGAATGCCATCCTGTGAAGAAAGAGTACCTTTCCTTTCCTTTTTTGCTCAAGATCAGGGATGGCTGAAAATTCGGAGACGATAATGCAGCAGCTGGGCTTCCATAGATGGATAGCTGTATACTAATTGATATTTAGTATACCTTGCTCAAACTAAAATCAAGAGTCAGAGGCATAACAGCAAAAAGTAATTGACTTTACAGACTGCCACCATTTGGGCTTAAATGATTAAAAAGGCTGATGAACACCAACCTTCTAATGTCTGTTTGGGTGCAGGCAGTAGATTTACTTGTTTTTTTCCTCTGTTCCCAGACACAAAACAGGGAGCTTTCAGCTTGTTTCATGTCTGTATGTGTTCTGGTTTATGCTTAGTCAAGATGGCTCGAGTGATTGTCAACCCAGCATGTCTGAGGCTGATCAGTATGTGTACTAACTACACACTGAAGTTAATCAGTTTACGAACTTTACATACAAATACACATTTAAGCAGAAATCTTTGACATTTCCAAGGAAGACTTTCTTTAGCTTTTTTTCTGTTCATGTGTGCTAAATATTGCACCGTTCTTTCTTTGCCTTATGCTTTTGTCTTTGCAGTTTCTATTTTTCTTACTTTAAACCCTCTGTTGGCATAGATATCAGAGCTTTTTTTTTTTACAAGTTGCTTTAAGTCTTTTAAAGACTTAACAGATAACATCTCTAGAGGGAACAGGAAAACTATACACAGACATAAGGCGCTCATGAGATTACATATGCCAGTAGGCTTAATATTAAAGAAACAAAGGACGTTGCTAATATCTCTTTAAAGACACAATTGCTTGATAGAGTGTTTTATTAAGATGTGTTTGTCTTTTTTTTATTTATCTCATAACATTAAAAATACAGCATGGTGTTGACAAATGTCTCTGTTAATGAATCTTCTTCTTTTTTTATGGCGGTTGGCAAGCAACTTATTGATGTGCATTACCGCCATCTACTGGAATGGAGTTTGGATCGGGACGCTATATATCAATTCTCCCACACAAAAAAATAAAATAAAATTATAATAATTAAGTTATAAATCGTAGATTCTTTCTATCAATTTCGTTTTCTCAAGGTGTTAATTAATCTAATTTTAAGTCCATGTTTTATAAACAAACGTTAGTCTCGGGTTCGCCGACATATACAGATGCATCAAAAGAGGAAAATGGTAAAACAGGAGTAGCAGTATATATTCCAAAAGAAAATATTTCTATCAAGAGAAGAACAACAGATAATTTATCAATTTTTTCAGCAGAGATGTTGGCAATTATTTTAGCATTGCAATGGGTGCTGGAGGTGAAGCCTAGAAATGTAGTTATCTGTTCAGATTCAATGTCTTGCCTGACTAGTTTTAAAAGTGGAAAATCTGAAAGCCGTCAAGATCTTTTAGATGAAGTCAGTTATTTAATGTATGGTATAAGGCAACAAAATATAAGTATTCAATTCACATGGGTTCCAGCACACAAAGGAATCTTAGGTAATGAAAAAGTAGATAAGTTAGCTAAAGAAGCAGTTAAAGTAGGAGAAATTGAATATGATGTCCCGCTAAGTAGAACAGAAATAAAAGTAATTATTAAAGATAAAATAAATAAGGTATGGCAGAAGAGATGGAATTTAGAAAAAAAAGGAAGACATTTATATAAAATACATAAAGATATTAGCATAGGATATAACAGTATAATGAGTAGAAGAGAGGAAATATGGATAAACAGGTTAAGGATTGGGCATACTAGTTTAAATGCAGGTCTAAAAATAATAGGGAAACATCCAACGGGTAATTGTTGTTATTGCGGAGAAATCGAAGGAGTAGAACATGTGTTGATCTATTGTAGCAAATATACAAAAGAGAGGAAAGAACTGGAAAGGGTAATGGGGAGTTCAGTAAAGATGGCAGATTTATTAGGGAAGCATCAATCAGATAAGATAATTAAAGCACTTATTAAATATTTAAAAGATACAGAATTAGCTGGGAGAATTTAGTGTGTGTATGTGCGTGTGTGTAAGTATAGATAGAATTTAGTTTCATGAAGATATAAAGATATACAGACATTATATTTCTGAATTACATCTCCGTCCAGTTGATGGCGGTAATGCACACAGGATGCAAACTGCCAGAAAACTCAATAGAAGAAGAAGAAGAAGAAGGGTTCGCCGACGTTACATGTGACGTGTCAATCACCGGTTGGTAGGCCGCATTGATGGGCGGAGCTTATTGGAGAGGAATGTAAACAGCTAGCATGCCTGCTCAACAGCTATCAACAGCGCACATAATCGAGACGCAGTCTGTGCTCAAAATGTAAGCTTTAAAAAAATTACTCTTCTCTCTCAATGTCAGAAGAGATCGGCATCATATGCTTACGCTTTTTATCATCTTACGTGATGTCTTTAATGTATTTATAGCTAAGTTAGCTTAGTTAGCCCAGGGAGCTAGCTGGGGGATTGCTAACGCTGGGAGTTGTGTCAGAAAGCTGCTTAATGATGATGAGGCATCAGCAGGGAGACATTTAATGGCCGAGGCAGGTTCTTTCTGAGGTGAGACTACTTAGAAAAATAATAATGATAATGTTGTGCAAATGCTGCCAGAAGGTTAAACAAACTTTTCAAGAGAAGTTCTTGCTGCTAAAACTGTTAACTGAGGCAACGCTGAATAATTATGCCTTATTAGCTCACTAAAGAACATTATGGGAAACTTAGGCAGCCTTTTGCTTGATTAATGACATCTTTTAGTGTATATAAAACAAAAAAAACAAGCTCTTGTTACTCTGTTCCGAATGATAAAGTACGACAAACAGCTCTATACGTTTACTTCCCTGTTTCGCATCTCTGACTGTAAACAACTATCCGGTTTTAAGGTGTGGCAAGGTCATTTTATATGTTTAGGAATATTTCCAAAAGAGTGATATGACAAGACTAATACATTTGTTTAAAGGAATCTTAATATATATATATCTTATTATATCCATTATAAAGACATTTCGGTTAACCTGCAGCTTAACTGTCGTTCACCACGAAACGATTGTGTTTGGTTAATCACCAGGTGAGAGGTAGCCTCCTTAAATACAGAGCAAAGCTCTCAGCGGGATGATAAAGTTTGCTTGTAGATCTGGTCAGCTTTTGTATATTCAAAAAAGCATTTTTAAAGAGTGAAATATGTGTTTATGTGTTAAATAAGGTGGCACAGCCATATTTGGAAATACCTAAGCATATGTATACATTTTAAAACATATACCAATGATCGGATAGATCTAATAAATTTCTGTTCAAACAAAGGATTGGGAAAAATGATAAGTTACAGATTAAATTCTGTTTATCTTAATGTTATTTTGTTAATTTGGAAATTCAACCTTTTTAGGGGATTGTACTGCCATTAGGGGAAGCGACTCGCTCTAATAAGTCAGTCTTGAGTCATAAAAACAATCAGGATTAATTTTAGGTCAGGGTGCCCTCATAGCAGAACTTCTCAAAGTCTAACCTAAAAAGGCAGAAAGGATTAAAAAAACACAAAGTAACCAAAAACGCATCTGTTGTATTTTTTCTCTTCAGATCTGAGTGGACATCTCTTGACTTTAGAGTAAGAAAATCCTTGTTTCTGTTGTAACTTTGGATCGTGCGCTGAGAGGACATACTTTGCTTGGTCTTTCTTCTATCAAGGTTACATTCTTCAACTCAAGATGAGAGCCTGACCTGCAGCTTAAATCATGTAAATGTTCCATTTAAGATACAAAAGCAGGAAAACCCATCTGTTTCTAATCTGATGCCTTTAATAGAAGCTGGGCACATTTATAATTCTTGTGAGTTTTTGAAACTAGGACAGTCTTCATGATCAACAGAACCTCTTCTACCACCTGCATCAGCTGCCCAGCGCCTAAGGATGTTTTGATCTCATGAAGGGATCAGTCAGTTTGGTAATCCTTCAGTGGCATTAGGAAAGTGATAGCCATCTTTGTGCAGCTGGGACATTTTGTTTCATCAGCATCCATCCGTTTGGCTGATAATGGCCGAATCCAGTTCACAGCCAGCAGCTCCACCAAATGTGCTGATTGGACGCAGCATTGGGGACCAGGTTCCCAACACAGAAAGCCCCTCCAAAGAAATGAATCTAGCTATGAATACTGGTGGATCAGACCAGGAGGCTAAAGTCCCAAATAGCAAAAGTAAAGCTGAGAGATCTATTCAGGCCAGAGAACCAGAGGAGGATGAAGAGCCCACGCCCACGCCACCGGAGTCATCGCCAAGTCTGTCTGAAAACGAGACGCTGACCATCGCTACCACCGAAGACGAAACTCTGTCGGTTCAACTCGGACATGTTGGCACTGAAAGAACACTGGGGTCAGGAGGAGATCCGGGTAAGAGGTCTCCAAGTCTGTGGTTGTTCTTTGGCTGTGTTTTTTTCTCTAAGCTCAAATCAGATTTATCAGCAGTTTATATGTTGCTTATTACTCATTAACAAAGGAGTGGACTGTTATCATTACAAACCCGAGGGCCTGTGGGAACTCAAAAGCTTAATGATTAATGGTTTGCAAACAAGGAAAATATGCAATGATCAAATTATTGATTATGAAAAGCGTCACTTATTCATACCTTCATTTTTCCCAGTAGCATTTGAAATAAAAGCACCAGGTTCACTCAAATGTTCAGTTATACAGACCTTTTTTTCAAAGGTTTGTCAAAAATAAGCCACCTGTTTATGAAAATTTTTAATAATTTATGGCCTACAGCTGTTCCTGGTATTGGATGTTGATGTAAACTGGTTTTCAGCGCTTCATGGTGCTCATGTCCAGCTGTTTAACATTCAGTGAACAGAGACAGAGCCGAGCAGAAAAGTGCTTCAATGAGCCTTTGTCTTTTTACTAGATAATAGTGGCTAAAGGCCAACTGAGAATCTCAGCTAGAACAACATTTTCCCCTTTTGATTCTTTCTGTAGATTTCCAACTGTTATGGAGCATTTAAATCACTAATACCTGTATTCTCTTCAGATTTTTTATGTTATAATTGTAGTAGAAGATGTGTCTTTGCCTGGTGTAAATATTTAAATTGTAGCTTTAACAAACAGCTGAGCATTAGTTTTTGTTTGTGTTGAATCCCTTAGATCGATTCGCTTTTTCAGAGCGAATCCTCGGACCAATTGGTGAAGCCACTTTATTTCTTCTGTGGTATTTGTATCCTGAAAAATATCTCTGTGTTTAACAGCCCTGGACCTGGAGGAGAGCTCCTCAGTGATGACAGCAGCAGACTCTGATGATCAGCAGGAATCCACCGACTCTGCTTCCTTCTCCATTCCTAGTCTGGAGCTTTCAGACGGAGTCCCGACCACAGGGACCTCTCTGGACATTGAAGATGGCTTGTCATCAACCTGCTCTGCTCCAGGTGTTGAAGGCAGCCCTCCTTCTGCCAAGGCTCCCGCTCTGAAAGCCAGTGAGGCGATGGAAGCAGTGGGTGAGGTTATCACTTAGGGTTTCACTGTCATGGGCTTCCTTAAAGAAGAGCAATGCACAGTTTTTGACCCCAAATTCTACAGCTGTCTGAATTGAATTTTTACTTGCAACAACTAAGCTATTTCTACATTTAGGATATAAATTCAGAATGAGTGTAACTGTAGTTTTTCACCTTGGCCACAGGGGGAGCTGTTGCTGCAGCTGCTGCTCTTCCTCAGCTCGCAGCTGCTGCCTCTGGGGTCGCCGAGCCCGGACCCTCCATGCCTGCGTATTACCTGGTGAAGTGGATCACTTGGAAGGAGAAGAAGACTCCCATAGTCACTCAGAGCGAGAATGGACCCTGCCCCCTGCTGGCCATCATGAATACACTCTTCCTGCGCTGGAAGGTGAGCCAGTTAACTGTTTGTGACTATCAAAAATTAACTGTTTTGATTTAATGAGAATCTTTGCAAAGTATAATAATGATTAATCTCGGGCTACTTTAACCTTATAAGTTAACTTTCAGTCTTATTTTATGTTGTGAGAGACAAAACCTGTTTTCTCAGTTTTTCTTTTTTCCTTTAAACTCTGGTTTTTGTGGCATCTTATGACTCTGTATTGTTCTAAAAAATTCAACAACTTCAAAATAAACACTTAAAAAATTCTTTCAGATTAGAAATACTCCGCTTTTATCAGAAACGCATTTTTATTTTAATTCCAAAACAGTTAAAAAACAATCCACTGGACATTGTTTCAGAATTTGAAGACGGTTTGCTTCCCATCCAGGTCAGAATTAGCATTTAAATTGAGGTTTTATAGAGTGGACCAAAACAACACCTTTTTTTTTTATTTACAAAGCCTAAATAACCGTGGTTACCCATGTGCTTCATAGTCACACATCTAATCTGCATGTTTTAATTTGTTTTTTATCATCTGCTTGGTTCCACATTAAACATTTTTAGCTTATACAGTAAGAACTGTACACCTGTTTTAGTTCAACTCTCAAAAAAAAAGCCTCAAACTCAACGCTAATTCTGACATTTTGAATTGAAAGAGATTCATCTTTTTTTAAATAACTATGACCTGGATGAATGAGAATCTTCACCAGCATATTTTTATTTTAATGTTCTTCAGTTTGATCAGTTTGCTGCATGAAAACGTCCGTCTGACTTAGGAACTTTTTTATTTTGGTGAGCATCATTCTTTTTCTGTAATAACCGTTCATGTTTGTCTATTTAGGCGAAGCTTCCAGCTCAGACTGAAGTGGTCACCACTGAGGAGCTGATGGCTCATCTGGGTAAGATGCTCCTTGTTTTGCTGAAATGCTTGGAGAAAAAAAATATGATGACAATTTTCTGAGTGAAGCTCATTTATAAGGGAAATTAGAAAAAAACAGTGGTTACTTGTGTGCTTCATAGTCAAATATCTAATCTGCATGTTTTGTTTTTTATCATCTGCTTGGTTCCACATTAAATATTTAGCTTACACAGTAAGAACTGTTGGACTTTAAAAAAAATGGATAACAGCAAAGCTGGGGACAGAAATAAGTTTGGACCCTGAAGTGACTGAAGTATGTGTTTTTGTCTAGGAGAGTGTGTTTTATCAGTCACTCCCAGAGAGAAGGCGAATGGCATGGAGCTCAACTTCCAACAGGTACCAACACCTGCAGACGCTTAATAGATTTGTCTTCCTCAAGAGCATCAATAAGCCGTTTTCTGTTTGTTTTTTTTTAAATATCACATTTTCACGAATTTAGTGGAAAAAAGGTGGGATATTTTTGTACCATGTGAGTAGAGAACATTGGCTGCACAGGCAGCCCTGCAACATAGATAGATTCACCACCACTTCTTTCTTCCCCAGACAAACATCCTGTTTTGAAGGGAGCAGATGTTTACATAACAATGTTTTTTTCTAGATTAGATTAGATTAGATGAGCTTTATTGATCTCACAGTGGAGAAATTCACTGGTCACATATTGGCATAGTAATTAAAGAAGGTGCAAACAAGGAGGAAAGAGGTGCATTAAGAATAAACAATATATATACAGTATATCACGGTATATACAGTATATCAAGATAAATAAGGATTAAGGTGCAAGTGTACATGTATCACACACAATGAAAAACAAAATAAAAATAAGAATTAAAAAAATACAAGGGAGTAACACAGAGATTTGAGGGGACATATGTACAATCAGGATGGCTTATATACAGGTGGATTGACTTTTACGTTAAGGTGTAGTAGGTAAGGAACAACGGTGAGGTAGTGGTATGACAATTATATTCACATATATTGCACAGTCAGCATATTGCACAGAATATTGCACAGTCAATAAATAAAAAACTATAATATAGCTGCACAGTGGTTGTTACAGGAGTTATTGTGGTTATAGTGCAGTATTATAGAGTCTGGTGGCAGCAGGAATGAATGACCTTTCATGCATTTTAGTCGATCAAACATCTTGCATCTCTCTCTAATCTCCTCACAGTAGTTTAATTTATTTAATTTTGGCCTGCTGCTCCAATGCAATCTCAAAAGATTTCCCATAGTTTGGAGATCTGTGCTTTGCTGATGGCCTCTCCACTGACCTCAGTGTCTTTAAGCCACTGACTGCTGGTTTTTTAAAGCTTTAAGTTCCTTGGCTGCTATTCTTATTGTTTTTGTTTCAATTTTTTATATTCTCCTTTTGCAACTAAAATCTCTGCCAGCATTATGCTGCCACCGCTCTGCTTAACAAATGGAAAAATGTTCCAAAAAAGATCAGTATTAGGGGAAAAAATTTAATTTTAATTTAATCACATAACGATGTCTCCAGATTAAAATAAACAATTCCTCAGCCTTTATAGTATTAATAATTAATTTTCCTTCCACTCTGGGTGGCCTTACAGTCCATCTACAGATCAGACGTCTTTTAAAGATTCTATTTTTATTTTTTCACCGTTTTCTAGTTTCAGTCACTGTTGATCAGTGTTTGATTTTAAGCTTCAGCGGCCTGACTGAAGCTCTGTGTCGGCAGAACATGAGCGACGCCATGGCGGTTCTTCCAAAGTTGTCAACAGGCCTGGACGTCAATGTTCGCTTCACAGGAGTCACCGACTTTGAGTACACGCCAGAGTGCATCGTGTTTGACCTGCTGAACATCCCACTGTACCACGGCTGGTTGGTAGACCCGCAGGTGAAACATTAACTGAAAGTTAACTATGAGATTAAACATTGAAAACCTCTGATTTTTCTGTTGTTTATTTATGTTATTATGTCTCAAAGCGAGGATGAAAGCATAAACTATTCTGGAGTCAGCTGAAATTGTTCACTTTATATGTGTTTAGAGCCCAGAGATAGTCGCTGCTGTGGGGAAACTGAGTTACAACCAGCTGGTGGAGAAAATCATCGACTGGAAACACTCTGCAGACAGCTGCAGAGTCAGTGAAGGTAAAACATCTGCAGAAATAAACACCACACTGAGAACATGCAGACCCAAAGAGGCATGTAGGGCAGCATCTGAGCACAGATCCATTTAGATATTCTTAAACTGGTAAATTTATACAGCAAAGCTTAGAGACGGTGAGGAAAATAATTCTTGAAGATTGAGAAAAAGAGCTAACTGGTTTATTAATGGTCCATATTTTTATATATATTATATATTGTTAAAGTTACGTGGTTTTATGTCAGTGTTTGTGATTTGTAGGTCTGGTGGCTGAACAGTTTCTAGAGTCCACAGCCACTCAGCTCTCATATCACGGTCTGTGTGAGCTCAACACGACGGCCAAAGAAGGAGAGATCTCAGTGTTCTTCAGGAACAACCACTTCAGTACCATGATCAAACACAAGGTGGGAAATGAACACGGATCTGAATACGCTTTATGCTGCAGATCCTACCCAACCAGGCTCTGTTTGCCCACATTTAATCTAGCAGCATTAAATCCAGATAATATAGACTTTTAAACAGTTTTTTTGGCAAAGCTGGAAGGCCATCGCCCTCCATAGTAGAACCAGAACATCCTGTTCCCCCATCTTCTACAAGAGTCCTTCATTTTCTGCTTTAAATAATGTTTCTCTCTGCTGGGGCTGTTTTATTTTAGTTTCTCTGTCCTCTTTCAGGGTCACCTGTACCTTCTTGTGACAGATCAGGGCTTCCTACAGGAGGAGAGCATGGTCTGGGAGTCTCTTCATAACGTGGAAGGAGACGGAAACTTCTGCGACTCCAACTTCAGACTGTGCCATCCTCCTGAGAGATCTCCGGCCCCCTCCCACCTGCCTCCCAGCAGCCAGGAGCAGCAGAGGCAGATCGACCAGGCAGGGAATCCAGCTGAGACACAGCAGACAAATGCCTCTCTGCTGACCCGTCACTGAGTGTTTGCATGGCTTTGTTTTGTTTCAGGACTACCTGGTAGCTGTTTCCCTGCAGCAGCAGCAGGAAGGTGCTCCTCGGCCTCTTAGTGACCTGGAACTGGCCCGGCAGCTACAGCAAGAGGAGTACCAGCAGCAGCAACAGCAGCAGCAGCCGGGAACGTCACAGACGCCACGGCAGGTAACTGCTGAGCTGGATCAATGTCAGCGTTAATATTTGACCTTCAGGGAGGCATTGATGGTACTGATAAAACAAACAACTCCAGTAAAAGTTAGAAACAGGAATTAGATACAAATATTTGATGCTATTGTGGGTTTTCTCTAAACATATGTTCATACCCAAAGCGAATGCATCAACTGGAGTGCGTGATCTGCATGTTAACTATACGTAAAGGTGCGTTCAGGAGCGGTGGTGTGAAGGAGGCCTTTTGGGCGTGAAGTTCCGCTGCTAGTATCGTCGTAGTGAAATCACACAGAGAGGTTTTGCAGAAGTGGAAAAATTGGCACATCTATGCTAACATACACTATATTGCCAAAAGTATTTGCTCACCCATCCAAATTATTGGAATCAGGTGTTCCAATCACTTCCATGGCCACAGGTGTATAAATTCAAGCACCTAGGCATGCAGACTGTTTTTACAAACATTTGTGAAAGAATGGGTCGCTCTCAGGAGCTCAGTGAATTCCAGCGTGGAACTGTGATAGGATGCCACCTGTGCAACAAATCCAGTCGTGAAATTTCCTCGCTCCTAAATATTCCACAGTCAACTGTCAGCTGTATTATAAGAAAATGGAAGTGTTTGGGAACGACAGCAACTCAGCCACGAAGTGGTAGGCCACGTAAACTGACGGAGCGGGGTCAGCGGATGCTGACGCGCATAGTGCGAAGAGGTCGCCAACTTTCTGCAGAGTCAATCACTACAGACCTCCAAACTTCATGTGGCCTTCAGATTAGCTCAAGAACAGTGCGCAGAGAGCTTCATGGAATGGGTTTCCATGGTCGAGCAGCTGCATCCAAGCCATACATCACCAAGTGCAATGCAAAGCGTCGGATGCGGTGGTGTAAAGCACGCCGCCACTGGACTCTAGAGCAGTGGAGACGCGTTCTCTGGAGTGACGAATCGCGCTTCTCCATCTGGCAATCTGATGGACGGGTCTGGGTTTGGCGGTTGCCAGGAGAACGGTACTTGTCTGACTGCATTGTGCCAAGTGTAAAGTTTGGTGGAGGGGGGATTATGGTGTGGGGTTGTTTTTCAGGAGCTGGGCTTGGCCCCTTAGTTCCAGTGAAAGGAACTCTGAATGCTTCAGCATACCAAGACATTTTGGACAATTCCATGCTCCCAACTTTGTGGGAACAGTTTGGAGCTGGCCCCTTCCTCTTCCAACATGACTGTGCACCAGTGCACAAAGCAAGGTCCATAAAGACATGGATGACAGAGTCTGGTGTGGATGAACTTGACTGGCCTGCACAGAGTCCTGACCTCAACCCGATAGAACACCTTTGGGATGAATTAGAGCGGAGACTGAGAGCCAGGCCTTCTCGTCCAACATCAGTGTGCGACCTCACAAATGCGCTTCTGGAAGAATGGTCAAAAATTCCCATAAACACACTCCTAAACCTTGTGGACAGCCTTCCCAGAAGAGTTGAAGCTGTTCTAGCTGCAAAGGGTGGACCGACGTCATATTGAACCCTATGGATTAGGAACGGGATGTCACTTAAGCTCATATGTGAGTCAAGGCAGGTGAGCAAATACTTTTGGCAATATAGTGTATATGCTAAAAATATAGAACTTAGTTTTTTTTTTTTTTTTTTTTTTGTCCTAGGTTAGAGAGTTGCACTTTAGCTCTTTTTGTCCACATCCGACATAATTCAGGTGAATTCCTGGTGGATTTGGTGGACTAGATATAAACATGTCTGTTTTCAGACACTGATCTGACTTTTAACCTTCCGGGACCTATGGCTGTTCTTATTGTTGCGTAAATTCAATCATTTGCTTTTTGTTGTCTGTCAAAACACCCCACATGTTCAACATTTTCAACAGGACCCAGTTTTTCCAAAGTGATCCGATTTTTTTTTTTTTTTTTTTTTTTTTTAAAGATCAATTTGGTTTATGGATTTGGATTAGATCAAGTAATCAAAACTCTGGTTCTGATCCAAAACAAACCCTGATTTTGGGTTTTTCAGCATTTTGTTGTAGGATTTCACTTTGATCCAAAAAATATGAGTTAAGCTGAACGCATAAGAAGGGTGTATTCAGTGTGGATTTTAGGCCCAAAATATGATCAAACATAACCATTTGATCAACAACCCTTTAGTTGGATAGTGCAGTTCAATGTATATTAAACCACAAGGTTTTATTTTCATCTGTTTGACAATTACACTAATTGCTATATATAGCAGTCTACAGCTAAGTATACGTTTTAAAAAAAAACTCCCTAACTTTAATCAGACATAATTTTACAACAAACAGATGCATATACTGACATCTACTGCTTGATGTGTAGCACAGCAGTTAGATTTGGTGATCTCTAATCTGACATCGCTTTAAAAAACCGGCTTGAAACTGGGATGGGTTTTGTACGAAATAGGATTAGGGCTACCGAAAAAAAAAAGTTAACAAATTTTTTTTTATTTTATTTCAGTATAGTATGGGGGAAAAGTCAGAATTCTGACTTTAATCTCAGAATAGGGGGTTTTCAGGTGACGTCACGCTCACGTGACTACTCAGCGCGTCCGCCATATTGGGTGGCAGCCTTAGGCAGTATTGACAGTGAAAAATGGTGAAATTATGTGTAATTGTTGGTTGCACGGCCCGTGGAGGTGGAGATCAACGCTCTTTCTATCGCATACCAGCCGTAATCGTGAATCAATGTGAAAAAACAAAACAGCTATCTGAACAACGCTGTCACCTATGGCTGACACGGATATCCAGGTCCGATTTGGACGGAGTTAAGCTGGAATACGCCAGAGTCTGCAGCGCTCACTTTGTCACAGGTAATTAACTGCCAAGCATTTAAAACATGTAAGAATATATTAATAATAGGGCTTGGGCGTCATGACGTATTACTTTCCGTGGCCGCAATGTTGACCGTCTCCGCCGCCGCTACTCAGACTACTGCCTATGACTACCGCGTACTGGACTCCCTCTCTCAGCCGTGTTTTAATTTGATTAATTTCACCTTAACTTGATTTCAACCAGCGGGAAAAGGCTCAAATATGTGAGAAACCCGGAGGGTTTAGGGAGGTTTGGCAGTTAACGTTACTAACCAAACCTTTGAAACACATAGCAGCTAGTTAAAAGTACATTACATGCCTGAGTGGTTGTTAGCACTAATGGTTAGCACTGTTTGCTGGCTTTATGAGCTGCAGCTCCTGAACCCATCCATTCGTAAACTGCACATGAGACTCCAAGGACTTGTAGCTTTGGAACTGTTCGCGCACCGCCGGCCGTTAGCCACCTAGCATAGCGAGCCCTGCGTCGGATTGTTTACATTTTTACCATCTTATTAAATTTCCTTCATGTACATCACTTCGACATCTCGTACCCAACCAGATGTGAACTGGTTGTGAGCCTCTAGACCCTTGTAGCTCTCATTTCCTCAAGAGTGTGCAGAGGGTTTTCACTGAACACCGACCGGGTAATGAACTATGTCGCCATGCTCTACATTTGGCCAATCATCTGGATTAGTGCTAAACAAGGCACCGTGGAGGGCATAGGGGTCCATATGGTCGATCACGGAACATTTCCTCAGATATGTTCCATGATCTGGTGGCTCTAGCGTGCTGGCGTACTTATCCATTCGCGACATGATATATATGATATACGATAATATGCCACCCAAGATGGCGGACCGGAAGCTGGACAGTGACGTCACTGAAAACCCCCTATTCTGACTTTTTTTCTCAGAATTCTGACTTTTTTTATTGTCAGAATTCAGTCAAAATTCTGAGATTAAAGTCAGAATTCTGACTTTTTCCCATACTATACTGAAATAAAATTAAAAAAAATCTGTTAACTTTTTTTTTTTTTTTCAGTGGCCCTAATCCTCTTCCGTAGTTTTGTAATCCTGGATCCTGAAGGAAATGATTAGCAAATCCATATTAATTTGATCTGAATGAAACCTTTTAAATAAACGGGCACAGACTCTCAGCATAATGAAGGTTAACTTTGTTTGGGTTGGAAGAAAGTGGACCAAAAGCAAATATTGAATATGATATAAAATATTTGTATTTTAATCTGTTTTTGTGTTTTAAATGTATTCCTTAAGTCTTGTGTTGATTCAAAATTAGCTTTTTGACACATTTTAAAGACCAGCCATGGTATTTGGCTCTGAAACAGGCTTAAAAAACGAATGACAGCTTCTCGGATTCTTTAAATGTCTGCAGGTTTTGTGATGGTCTTTCTTCATCGTCTGCAGGTCAGAGGTCAGGCGTCGCAGCAAGCCAGAAGAAGAGAGAAGGACTCGGACTGTGCCATCCTGTAAATGCTTCCTGTTTTAACGCCTGGGACCTCTCGCGATTCTCGCGTGTGGCGCGCACGCTGAGTTAGCTCCATGCCAAACCCGGCTGCTTTCGTCCAGCAGGTCTGTGTCCTCCAGTTTGGAAAAACCTAAACGCAGGAGGCTGTTGGAACACACGGAGCGGACGGGCGTCCATGAAGGGCTCATCGCTGTAACCGAGGATCTTTAAGTAAAAATTCTCTAACTACCGCTCTTAAGGCCGGTTTGAATCGTTAAAAGGAAACGTTCTGTTGCCAACACTTTAAACCTTCAGTCAGATATTTAATAGTTATATTAATTTGAGCTCTTTAAAAATGATTGTTTGAAGATTTTTTTCCAGAAATAGCTAAAGATCTATTTATTAAAACAGATTTCCTGACATTTTAGTGGCCATTTGTTTATCATCAAATTTCTTTCGTTCTTTAATGCATCCTGGGGCTGTTCAGAAAGGTTTCCTGTTATAACCCGGTGTGGGTCAGAGCTTTGTGAACTTGTTCCACATTTTGTGATTAAAACCAGACACTTCCCTGCATCTTATTAGGGTTTTATGTGATAAACTAAAACACAGATGGGTGTAAAAGAGAAAAAAAATACTTATAGCTTTAAATAAAGTTTTTTTTTTTTTTAAATCTCTGATTGGATTTAGTGTTGAAACAAGATCCTCTTAGGCCATAATCATCCCTAAACCTTGACCTACTTTCCCCTCCTGCTGAGGAAAACCATGATGCTGCCACCACCGTGTTTCAGTGTGGTGTGATCCCCTCTGCAGCTCATCCAGGGTTCCTAGGAGCCTCACTTTGAGCTTTGCTGACCGTATCATATCTTTCTACCATTTTTATTTTCCCTGTAGATGAAGATCTTGTTTTAGAGTCTTTTCCAGAACTTTCTTCCTCACCTCTCTGGTGCGCCGCTTGGTCTTTAAGGTCTTTTCCTCACCAATGTACTGAGATTAAATTTTATTTTGTGATGAGGTGACTTTCATGTGGCTGCTTGGAATTTTATTTTATTTTTTTATGGTAAACAATTAAAGGAAGTTATAAATACATACTTGTCAGGCTAATTTGGCTCATTCTATGTATGGCTACCTTAATGTTTCACAGATTTATGTTTATCACATGAAGCCTCCACTAAAACACTTAATGTGAAGTCTTAAATGTAACAAAATGTCAAAAAATAGAAAAAAAAGTTCAAGGTGTAATAATACTTTTGCAAGGCGCTGGATATTAGTGGTTTCCGCTGCAAGGAATATTTACTTACTTCAGGAAGAAATTAGGTTTTTTGTTATTTTCCTACCAAAGAAGAAATCCTGAATGTGGGACCTGCTCATTATTTTTGTTTATTTTTGAATGTAAAATACCTCTGCCGTTTGGATGCTCTCACCGGCTCACCTTCTAGTTCATTAGTCTGCTGGGGAGTCACATCAGTAACTGCAGATTTACTCAGCAGCGCCCTCTTCTGACCAGAGGGTGTGTTGATTCCAGACACACTTGGAGCTCAGTGTCTTTTTAGCTCTTGGCCTCTTTTATAGATGCCAGAAGTGGATGGTTTAGTAATATCTTGAAATAACTGGCAACATGCAGCAGTTTGGATTTGAAGAAATGTCGGTGAAATATTTGACCCATTGCAGCACTTCTAAGCCTATCACTCTGTTGTGCATCCTCCATTGATGTGTCTTATCTTGTCTCTGTTGCTGATGGTGAATCTGTAGTCCAAAAAAAGGTTATTTTATAACAGAAAGGTTGCACAAAATGTATAGAAAACAGTTCCTGAGCTCTTTTCAAATATTAGTTTTAAGAAATGAGTTATACAAGGTGACCTTATACCCGGGAAACAGCTCCTGTAAGGAAATACCTAAATCCCTGCAGCTATGCTTTATTTCCTGCTCAGTAAAAGGATCATTCTCCAAGTGAGGTTCAGAAAATGCTGAGCTGAAGGAAAAGCACCTAACTTGCCTCGATTTATCCATAAGAACTAAAGAAACTCAAATGATCATTTTAGTGTCATAGATGGGGGGAAAAAAGCTGTAAAATCCATAAACATGTTTTGTTTTTTTCTGTTGCCAAAATCCAGTTTTCTACAGTTCTGAATCCAATCGGAGAGCCAAAGATTTAAGGCGTCGATGTAGAGAAGCTTAAAGAGACGTCTGATAATATCTGATGAAAGCATGAGACGATTTATTTATACTAAATGACAAATTCAGGACAGAGAAGAGACCTTTTTGTAAAGTTTATTCGTTGAATCTGGCTTGTCGTTAAATCCTTCAGATGATCTGAGCTGAGCTCCGATCTTTTTCGCAGCAACACTAGAAAAATGTTTCCGTTACAGAACGTCGACTGTGAAAGAAACGCTCCGTTATTCGCTCTATCGCAGCCCAGCGATGGCCTCTGATGTCCTCATCAGATGCACGCTTGGTTTAATCAGTTGCTCACCTTCAAGTTCAGCTCCGTAAATAACAGACTTTGGGACACTTTCTGGTAACTAATTTGTTTCAAAATGTTAAATGAAACCCAAGATTCGGTTTTATCACCTAATGAGAAGCATGTCCATGTGTTTTTGCTCCATTTGGAGGAGTTTACTGCACTTTATTATAAAAAAAAAAAATAAGAGTCCTGTTTTCTGTTTAGTCCAGGTAGGATGGTTCTCTGGTTCGAGTTAAAACCCATATCCTTAATAGACCACCATAAAAATCATACCCACTCCATTTATCCCTTTTCTGTTCCTATCTGTTGCTTTCCTTGCATTTACCTTTCATTAATGGGCTTAGATACAGCACTCTATTTACAAAGTCCTCTGTCTGGTGGACAATATTCCAGTATCCTTGTAGGACGTGATGATCAACAGTTTTTCTTTGCTAATATTTTTCCAATGAACTGGGTTTTGGGTTTCCATTGACAAAAGACTTTGAAAATACTTCTATAAATAATAAATTCTATGTGCAAAGTTTGGTTTTGAATTAAATTACTAAGACTAATTGGCCACTTTTCTACACATTTGTGTCAATAAAGACGATTATGGCTGCTTGAAATTGATTAAAAACCACTTTACAACAGGCTCCATGAAGAAAGAACTAAATAGAGACATTAAGCTGTTGCCTTGAGTTTATCGGTGTCCCAGTTTAAAAGGGAAGCTTCAGATGTGAGCCTCCTTGTATTTGACTTCTGCAGCTTTAAATGATAAAATGTGACGGTTCTGTTGATCATAAATCGCTGTTTAAATCCGTTTTTTTCTTTACCTAAGGCGGTCTAAACCGAAGCTGTTTTTGCTTAATAATTTCTTTTCCTTCTGTTGAAATGTTGTAACCGTTTTACCCATGAATCCTGATTCATCAACAGTGTCTCTGAAAGCTGTTCCAGTTAACACGCTCATGGTTTAATGAAGGATTCATTATGTGGTAATGAAGGAGCACCAGGATGTGAGACATGCATTCACGCAGTCTAATTAAACATCTGAAAGTAACGCTTGAACCTTTCTTTCCGCACTTTATTGCAATTTCTAACAAAACTCTAAAATAATCACAAAACATATTTTAGTTCCTTCTAAATTAAAGGAGTAAAAGCATGATTTAAAATATATTTTTTGGGGGAAAGAAAGATGTTGAAGCTTCTTTTTTGTTCTATCCAAAGACGTATTGGCCCAAATCAAAGTGCCATTGTTGTGTTTTGTCTTTGCAGCCTCTGAGTACCACGCTGTGCTTTCCTGGGGCCTGTTTCAATAAGGAAGTTCAACCAACTCTGAGTTAAAACTTGAACTCTGAGTTGACTTATCCTGAGATTGGAAACTCTGAGTTTTGGGTTTCAGAACAGCTGAAATGAGTTAGTTCAATCAACTCTAAATTGACTCACTCTGAGTTAAGCGCGTGCACCACAACTATAAAAAGCCATTATCAATGGAGCACAGATATTACGAGTCACCATGGCAACAGCGTCAGACAAAAAAAGGTGTGCATATTTCTCACCAGCATAACTGGATGTGCTTATGCAAGCATATGCAGAATTTGAACATGTATTTTAAAAAAAAAGCAACACGGCTGCAGCGGCGAAGGAGAGAGAGTTAGCTTGGGTGAAAATAGCTGCTAGAGTCAATGCGTAAGTTTACATTTTAATGACTTTTATACAGTGTTGGGTGTAATGAATTAAGTTACTTAAGTCATGTAAATACTGAAATTAAATTAAAGACTATAAAAAAATAGTGGATTTAATATCAAATTTTTAAAAGGTATATTTTGATTTGAACTTTCTCCCTCTAGTTACACACTTTGGTCAATTTAAGATTAATTCATGCAATTGAATATTGTTTATTTGAAAGCATTAGAAGTGCTGTTTCTTGTCTCTCCTTGTATTGTTCAAGTGGTTGAGGTTGATTTGGGATTTAGAAAGTAATTAATAAGTAAGTAAAACAAATTAGTAAGTAGACCAATACTTTCTAGAGACAGTAATTATTACATTAATCTAATTAGACTTGTTGAAGATAAAATTTGTAGTTAGTAATTAAGAACTATTTTAGAGTAACTTACCCAACTGTTATAATATCAGAGGTGAAACTGGAAGAACAGTATTTTATTAAACCTAATTTAGTTTTCATGGATAGGTGCAATCCTGCAGGCATCAAAAGAACATGGCAGCAGCTGAAAATGAAATATAAAAACATACTTCAAGCAGGTAAGCCTTGAGCACATCATGGGAGTAGAGTAGCTACCTGGCTTTACAAACAGGATCGTCCATAAAAGGACATGCCATTTCATTCCCTTTGATGCGCTCTACGTGACTGAAATGTGTGCAATGAATACTGTATGTCCCCAAAGAATCAATGAGGTGTTTAAACACCACTTCCTCTTTAAAAAAGGGGAGGAGACCAAAATAAACTCTGGATTTTCTGAAGAAAACCTGCTCCTGACCAGGTTAGGTTCACAGAGTAAATTGCCATGGTAACTGACTCTGAGTATAAGTTACCTCTCTTTCAGAAACGGGCTTGACTTACTCTGCTTTCTCAGGTTTAACTTACCTCCCTTTTCTGAAACAGAAAACCCAGAGTTTCCCTCATTTCATGGTTAACAAACTCAGAGTTTTCACTTAACCTCCTTTCTGAAACAGGCCCCTGCTCTCTCTGTCCTGTTTGATTTTTTTTTTTTTATTCACTTCCACTCTGTAAGTGATCTGTTTAATTTGCCATTTTGTGAAACCATCAATAAAAACCACAATCTATGTAAAAACTGCAGCTTTCATTTGTCTCTGATCCTCAAACTTTACTTAGAAAATCCTCCATTAATTTAAGTAATATTACTTTTACCATAGATTTTTATTTTATTTTTTTGTTAGGGGTGCATTTCTTAAAATTATGGTCATCTCCAGGTTATTTCCATTTCTTGGTTGTGAGCGACTGCCTCAGATCATCGCCAGTTATTGATCATATTGATCATAAGGTCATCAGAGGCTAAAAATAAAGTTTCATTATTATGGCACAAACTATATGTACATTTTAGATCAGGAATGCCCAAATTCGGTCCTAGATGGCCGCTGTCCTGCAGGGTTAAGATGTTTCTCTGCTCCAGCACAGCTGATTTTCCTCGATGGCTGATTAACAGGCTTTTGCTGAACTGCAATCATCAGAATCAGCTGTGCTGAAG